TTTACAGCCTTGGGACCCAGAGGGGCAGTTCCACTCTACCCTACAGGGTTGCTATGAGTCAGAACTAACACATGGCAAAGAGTTTAGTTTTAGTTTGGAATCTGCAAATTCATGGATGCCATTATAAGCTCGTGCTAATAGGCAAATCTGGAGGATATGTCTTTGGTGGGTCTTTTCCTGTTTAAGACTTAATAAATGTTCTCCTTAAAGTATATTTGAAATGTGTGGTTTTCTTTGTTCCTAAAACAAATGGTATTGTCGGGAACAGGATTCCTGGTTGGATTTCTGGAGAGTTGAGGAAACTGGCCCCAGAAAAAGAGGTGTTTAACCTCCCATTTTCATGGTCCCTTGGAGATTCCACAAAGGTGAGCACTCTTTGAATTTATGAACTGATGTTTCAAGGCTTTCAGAAACGTATCGAAGTCTTATTTATTAAGTCTTGCTGTGTGTTTTCTCAGATGCAAATTGTTAAATTTGCTTGCTTTCTCTCTGTCTTGCTTGCAAACGCTTTTGACTCCTTTCTTTGAAGTGTGTTCCGGGTTCCGATTTTGTTTGCTTAGGCTTGGTGTGACCTGGAGTTCTTGTCTGAACCTAGGTGTTCTGTTTTGGCATTATCAGAGATTATTCCTATTTTCTGGGAGTTCTGGGGTCATGTTTTATGCATGCATGGTGGGGGGTCCTTATAGAGGGACATCATGCTTAGTTAAGTGGATGGGCAGCAAAAAAGAGGAAGACCCTCAATGAGACGGGTTGTCCTGGTGCCTGCAACAATGGAATCAAACGTAAGAACATTTGTGAGAATGGCCTTGGACAGGTGTTTTGTTCTATTGTGCACAGGTTGGTTCTGATTTGGAATCAACCCCATGGTACCTAAAATCAAACAAGAAGCAAGAACAGGGATGCTGCTCCTAGTAAGAGAGGAGCCAGGAGTGGAGAGCATCTTTTGGCTCCTGCATATGCTTTGTCCTCTGTAGAATCCCTGGTTCTTGGAACTTACCGTATGTACTCAGTAGAAGCTGACCGAATATCAGCCGAGGCACCTAATTTTACCACAAAAACTGCACTAAATGCAAGAATACTTTCTTCTATTAAGTTGGCTTTCTATGATGCTCACCTTCCCGACATGACCACTGAAGACAAAGGGGGTGAATAAGTAAATGTGGTGGAAAGCTGATGGTGCCCGGCTATCAAAGGGTATAGTGTCTGGGGTCTTAAAACCTTGGGGGGAGGGGGGAAGGCGGCCATGTAGCTCAGAGGAGGCAGGGCCCACATGGAGGAAGCACACCAGCCTGTGTGATCACAAGGTGCCGAGAGGATCAGTTATCAAGCATCAAAGAACAAAAAATCATATCATTGTGTGTTTACCTCCCTGATATGATCACTGAAGACAAATGGGTGCATAAGTAAATGTGGTGAAGAAAGCTGATGGTGCCCTGCTATCAAGGGATGTAGCGTCTGTGGTCTTGGGGGCTTGAAGGTAAACAAGCGGCCCTCTGGCTTGGAAGCTGCAGGGCCCACATGGAGGAAGCACGCCAGCCTGTGCAATTGTAGGGTGTCGAGGGGATCAGGTATCAGGCATCATCAGAACAAAAAAATCATAGTGAATGAGGGGGTGAGTGTAGAGTGGAGACCCAAAGCCCATTTGTAGGCTACTGGACATCCCCTTACAGAAGGGTCTCAGGGAGGAGACGAGCCAGTCAGGGTGCGATGTAGCAATGATGAAACATACAACTTTCCTCTAGTTCCTAAATGCTTCCATACCCCACTCCCCCCTCCCACCCACTATCATGATCCCAATTCTATCTTACAAATCTGGCTAGACCATAGGATGTACACTGGTGCAGATTGGAACTGGAAACACAGAGAATTCAGGGCAGATGATCCCTTCAGGACCAGTGGTATGAGTTGCGATGCTGGGAGCGTGGAGGGAGGATGGGTTGGAAGAGGAGAACCGATTATAAGGATCTACATGTGATCTCCTCTCTGGGGGACGGACAACCGAAGAGTAGGTCAGGGGAGATGTTGGACAGGGAAAGATATGACAAAATAATGATTTATAAATTATCAAGTTTTCATGGGGGAGAGGGGTGAGGGGAGCGGGGAGGGAGGAGAAAAAATTAGGAGCTGGTGCCAGGGGCTTAGGTGGAGAGCAGATGTTTTGAGAATGATGAGCGCAATGAATGTACGGGTATGCTTTGCACAGTTGATATGTGTGTGGATTGTGATGGGAGTTGTATGAGCCCCTAATAAAACGATAAAAAACAAAACAAAAACTGCATTAAAAATGTGCTTAAAAATTCGGCTTATACGTGAGTATATACTGTAAGTTGTGGTCTTGCACTAAGTTGATTTCACCAGCTTCCACAGTTTGGGGGATAAAGAGGATCTTCCAGATGAAGGTTTAAGTTTTGGATTTGGGCTTTACCAGCACCCACTAGACGTGAGGCACTTTTCTTTGCATTGTGATTTCTGCGTGGACACTGTGGTGCATTGCAGAAATTTGGTTTATAAGGGCGTGTAGTAAGGACAGAAGGTAGGAGTTGATGTTGGAGGTGCTAGAGTGGTACAGCAGTTTGGCATGGTAGGACACTTTCAGATGTAATTAATCTCTAGTCTCTAGGAACCAGTCTTGTATTAAATTTCATGAAGAAAGTATATGGCAGTTAGATTTTATGTCCACTTGAGCCTGTGTGAAAGTAAGTGTAGGGGTGGAGTCCAACCCATCAATCAGGTCACAGCCTGATGATGCCTCCTTGGCAGTGTGGCCTTGTGTATAAGAGAGACAGTAAGTAGTTCTCTCCTCTTGCCTTTTGCCTGCAGGAGCCTTGGTGGGCATAATGGTTATGTATTGGGCTGCTAAAAGGTCAACAGTTCAAAACCACTCCTTGGAAGAGAGATGGGCTTTTTCCTCCCATAAAGAGTTTCTGTCTCTGCAACTTAGAGGGGCAGTTCTACTCTGTCCTATGGTGTTGCTTTGAGTCAGCATCGACTCGATGGCAGTGAGCTTTGGAAGTTCACCCTAGCTTTTCTTCTCGTTGGGACTCTGGGTCTGCCTTCAGGGGTAGCCTTCTATGGGCTGCTGACCCTGAGAGCCATTTGCGGAGCTGCCTTGTGCTCTGCCATGTTCCCAACAACCTGGGATCCACATGACTGCACTCACTGGCCTATGATCTCCCTGCTTCCCGCTTCATCTTTCCGAAGCATCAGCCTGTG